CCCCCCAGGACTGGCGCCATCCACGTGGGGGACCGCATCCTGGCCATCAACAGCGTCAGCCTCAAGGGCCGGCCCCTGAGCGAGGCCATCCACCTCCTGCAGGTGGCTGGCGAGACTGTCACACTGAAGATCAAGAAGCAGCTTGACCGTGAGCCCAGCTCCACGCCCTGGGCACCACCCAGCCCCTTAGGAAGGACGGGCCACCTGTCCCCCTGTGCTCAGCTTAACGCTTGACTCAGGAGTCCTTGTCACATCCCTGGGGAGGCAGGAGGGTGGCTGGGATAGCTGGAGAGAAGAGGGAGCCTGGGTTTGGGGTCCTCTTCTACTTATTTTTATTTATTTATTATTATTTTTTATATATGAATGCATCACAATTCCTATTACACATATTCAGCACAATTTTTCATATCTCTGTTTGTATATAAAGTAGGTTGACACCAATTCGTGTCTTCATAGGTGGACTTTGGATGATGATGTCCATCACATTCCACCATCATTAATAACCCCCTGCCCCCTCCCTTCCCCTCCCACCCCTCTGCCCTATCTAGAGTTCCTCTATTCCTCCCATGCTCCCCTCCCTACCCCACTATGAGTCAGCCTCCTTATATCAGAGAAAACATTCGGCATTTGTTTTTGGGGGGATTGGCTAACTTCACTTACCATTATCTTCTCCAACGCCATCCATTTACCTGCAAATGCCATGATTTTGTTCTTTTTTATTGCCGAGTAATATTCCACTGTGTATATATGCCACATTTTTTTTTTTATTCGTTCATCCACTGAAGGGCATCTAGGTTGGCTCCACAGTTTAGCTGTTGGGAACTGTGCTGCTATAAACATGGATGTGGCTGTGTCCCTGCAGTGTGCTGATTTTAAGTCCTTTCCATATAGTTTGAGGAGAGGGATAGCTGGGTCAAATGGTGGTTCCATTCCCAGTTTTCCAAGGAATCTCCACGCTGCTTTCCATATTGGCTGCACCAATCTGCAGTCCCACCAGCTGTGATCAGCTGCGACTCTGAGGTCAGAGACGGCAGCTCCTCCTCCTCCTCCTCCTCCCAGGTCCCCTCCTGCCCCACAAGCCGGGCAGCCTCAGCGAGGCCAGCGACGTGGACGAGGACCCACCGGACGCCATCCAAGGAGGCCGACTCCCAGCCCGGTTCTCGCCCGCCGTGCCCAGCGTGGACAGTGCTGTCGAGTCCTGGGACAGCTCGGCCACGGAGGGTGGTGGCTTTGGGGGTCCAGGTAACACCCCGGGGTCCTTGGACCGGCCTCGGTGTGGGGCTCAGTCCCTCTGGAGCTCCTTCCTGCCCCTCCTGTCTAGCCTGACCCTCTAGGCGACACTTCATAGAAATAAGACGCAATTCGACCCCATTGACCACGTCCAGGGTCCCTGGGCTCCCCGGGGCACTACCATTCCCCGCACCCCAGCCAGCTACTTAGACTTCTCCTCCGTGAGTCGAAGGACCAAGCTGGGCTGGCTCCCAGGGGTCACCTGTCATCCCAGGGGCTCAGGAGGCTGAGGCGGGAGGATCGCAAGTTGGAGGCCGGCCTCAGCCACTTAGTGAGACTGTCTCAAATCAAAACCAAAAAGGGCTGGGGACGGGGCTCCGTGGTTAAACACCCCGGGGTTCAATCCCTGGTACCAGGGGGAAAAAAAGGGAACCAAGTTTACCCCATTCCCATCCCGACCTCTGGTACACAGTAGGTGCCCAATTAGTGTTCACTGCATCCAGTTGAACATGCAAAATCAGAGAGCACCCTCCCTCCCCATCCTCCGGGCTGAGCCTCTCAGCTCAGTCTCTGGGGACGGTCTTCAGAGGCTGTCCCCAAGGAGCTGGTGGGGACAGGGTCCAGAAGGCGAGCTGGCCAAGCCAGGCCTGTGGAGCTGGGTGACCGACCAGGAGGTCTGGGGAGGGCCCCGGGGGCACAGGGACCCTCAGGGGCTCCAGAGAGTCCCACAGGCCCCCGGAGGAGCAGCCAAGTGGACAAGGTCATCCGGAAAGTGCATGTCCCCTGTCTCCGCCCGCCAGGTCCCTACACCCCACAGGCGACGGTCCGGGGTGGCGTGACCCCCCAGGAGTGGAGGTCCAGCCGGCTCAGGGGCAGCCCGCCACCCGTCGAGCCCCGGAGGACCAGCTTCACCCCGGGCCTTGCCGACGAGAGCTTTCCTGAGGACGAGGACTGGGAGCCACCAACGAGGTGTGTGGCGGGGACACCAGAGGAGGAGGAGGCAGCCTCGGGCTCTTGGCTGGGATGGGCCAGGGTGGCCGGTCCCTGGGCTGTGCCAGGATGAAGGGAGAGGGCACCAGGGCGGAGGCCCAGCTGGGAGGCTGAGGCAGGAGGATCGCAAGGTGGAGGCCAGCCTCAGCCACTGAGGCCCTAAGCCACTCAGGGAGACCCTGCCTCTAAATAACAAGAAAGGGGGGGGCTGGGGGCGTAGAGGCATCTCAGAGGACCAACAGGAGGCTCAGAACTTGAACCCGCACCCACCTTCTGCCCAGAAAGCCTTTCCGGCTTCTCTCCTGGAAAACTCCTACGCGTCCCTCAAAACCCAGCTCAAATAACCCCGGGCCTCCAGAGGGAGGCTCCCCCGGCTTTCTCAGGCAGAAGGAACCCCTCCTTCCTTCCCCTGGGACCCCGAGAGAGAGAGAGAGAGAGAGAGAGAGAGAGCCCTTTGGAATCCACAGTGTGCCTTCAATGTCACAGGACAGGGACAGGGAAGTCCCCGGTGGCCTTTGAGCCTCTCCCAGCAAAAATAAAATAAAGTCCCCTCGTCCCCATCTCTCTGTGTCCCCCTGCTGTGTCACGGCGTGTGTGTGTCTGGGCGGGGCGGGGCCTGTCCTCTGGGTCTATCCCATGGATCTCCTCTCTGTCTGTCCGTCTGTCCGTCTGTCTCTCTTCCCAGGCGTCCTGTGTCACCGCTCTCCACTCTGTCTCATCTGCCCATGTTCTAACTGGCCACCGACACTCCTGGTGGCCCCTAGCTGCGTGTCCCCCCTCCCCGGCCCATTCTGTGTCACCAACCACTGTCCCCACCCCCACCCCGGGGGGCCCCAGCACTGCCACCGAGGACATCTGCCCGCCTGCCCGTCCCTCCGTCCGTCCACCCTCTGGCCCCTTGAGCCCGACGCTGGCCCCAGGGCCCTGAAGACGCGCCTCCGGCCCCGGCCTGTCACCCAGCCGCCACCTGACGCTGTGGTTCCCTACGTTACAGCCCAGGCCCCCGCGCCCCCCGCGAGGAGGGCTTCTGGCGGGTGCTCGGGGAAGCCCTCGAAGACCTGGAGTCGTGCGGCCAGTCGGAGATGCTGCGGGAGCTGGAGGTATGGGCCACCGGGACCTGGGCACATTGGGGTGCATGTGCTGGGAGGGGACACATCCCCAGCCCTTTATTAAACATTTTTATTTTATTTTTTAAATTTGAAGACAGTCTCACTAAGTTATTTAGGGCTTTTGCTAAATTGTTGAGGCTGGCCTCCCACTTGAGATCCTCCTGCCTCAGCCTCCAGAGCCACTGACTGGGATTCCAGGCGTGGGCCACCGCTCCCAACTCTTCCGTGTGTATTTTTTAAACAATGATGCTTTGCCTGGTGTCTTTGGTATTGAAATTTCAGCATTTTTTTTCTTTGCTCACGGAGTCCATTGGTAAAGCTACGATTCCACCTGTAGGAACTGCTTTGGCTGCGATCCTTCCAATTTTGATTTATGCTGTTTTTACCAGTCCATGCAGTTTCAAATGTTTCAAAGATTTTCACCATCGTCTTCACTTCAACCCCTGAACTGTGCAGAAGTGGGGAGTTTTGTTTGTTTTTTGGTGTTTTAGAACGCTTGATTTTGTTTCTAGCTATTTTTATATTTAATGTAAAAGAAAACCCAATTCACATTGCTTTTTTCTTCATTATTATGTACCATGGCCAGAGCATATTCCATTCCATATTAATTCTTTAGAATTTGTGAAAACTTCTTTCTCTGTGGCCTAGA